GTTATTGGTGATAACTCCGATACATGTAGAGTTAATTGGATCTGAAGCTCTGAAGATCACAATGATTCCAATATTTTGAATGCTGGGCTCTTTATTAAAAAAAGTGTGGCCTGAAAACAGTGAAAACGATCAGAAAAACAATAGTAAGAGATGCAGCATCAAAGGAAGACGAATATAAGCAAAACTAATTCCCAACAGGGTACTTCCTCATTTATAAAAGGTAACCCGGTGCCATTTCATGCATTTATTGGGAAAATACTCTTTATTTTTATAGGGCAGAGATTACCCAATATCATGTTTCCTGCAACCACAGATTTATAAGCGTCATCCTATAGATTTATTTTAAATCAAAATGTCATGATTTGTCAAAGTCTGCCTCATTGATGAACTAATTTTTCTATCATCTGTTCTTTTCAACTAAAAAAGTTGGATAAAACATATTCTCTCAGGAAACCTATTTAAGAACTAGAATGGATTTGGGAACATCATATATTTGGGAAAGCAGAGACTAAATAGAAATTTAATAAATGGCATACCAGGAAAAGCTGCATAGAAAAGAACTAAGCATTAATCAGATTAGACAAATGAAGAGACATCAGGCTGAGGTGTCAAACAGGAGTTTAACAAAAACACACCTTTGTATCTTGTTCGGTTGCTTCCAGTTTATATCTTAGCTTATGGTTTTCTTCTCGTGACATATTAGCAACACCACAGGATTTTTGATCTTTTTCTAACATATCTAACTGTAGAATCAGTTCCTTTGTTTCTTCTCTACATGCTTTCAGAGTAGCATCAATCTCTCTGCAGTAGTTGGCATTTATGGCTTCCAGCGCAGATCTAGCTTGAAAATAGGGCTGTAATATAAAGGCAGCGATAAATCTTAAGGGAGGTATGTTACATTGCTATCTCTTACATAGAGTCATCCAATTACACCAGAACACACTTTCTGCAAACTAGATCAACATGTCCAATAATCCAAGTTGCTTTGGATTATTAAACTATAAGAAACACGCAACTACATGTACAGCATTATCTCCAAGCGCACCCTTAACAAGGCAAAAACAATAATATTGTGCTACACCTTTTAAATCTGCATCTCGTACCTGAGCTTTGGGCCGTAGAAATTGATTAATGGACTGAAACTTTTCAATATTTTGCTTTGTTGTTGCCTCAAAGCCTTGGAAATCAACATATGAGCACCGTTCCAAATACTGTTCCACCTCAATGTTCTTATGTTCCAACTCTTGTAACGTAACCTCTGTGCTACCGAGTTCTTCTTCCATTTCAGAAACTTCTTTTGACATTTGCTGCGCCAAGAAATACATAAAAATGATGTATCATGACTTATTTTTTGCAGCATGGTAACTGGGAAGAGAATTTATGCAGAAACCTTTTAACACAGATACAGTATTAACCCTTCTAGCTCAATTAACCACACTGAAAAGAAACGTTTAAGCTGATTTATCTTCCCACCTGTCCACAGAGCCATCATAGTGGGA